AAGGTGAGGCAATGGTGCCAGGGGGGTCTAAATGCCAGTGTTCCGCTTTAAGATAGATGTAAACCCTAACTGGAATTTTTGTTTGGAAAAAAAGCACATTTATGATAAACAATAGTTGTGTTTTTTTTTTTTTTTTTTTTTTTTTTTTTTTTTTTTTTTTTTTAGTGTTTAGTGTTTTTAACCTTTTTTTCATCTCATAGCTGATGGAGCCCCCTTTTAGCCAATCCAATCTGCGTGATCTCCAGTGACAGCTTCACAGGGTGAGCTATCTAATGGGGCCATTAGCTAAACATACATGTATAATGTGCATCAACACAGCCACTAGTAGTGTCCATCAGGAACACATGTGAACAAGTGACAACTCAGAATAGCATTTGGTAGACAGGAGCAAAGCTTTGTCACCCCTTAACAGGAAGTGCTTGAATGAAGACCTTCAAAGCAGGAACATCAGGTAATATTTTATTAAAATATGCACATTTACAGATATCTAAAGCAACTTTTGAAATTACATTAACATGTTAAACCTTCTATCAGATTTTAGTGATTGGGTTTAGCCCTGCTTTCATTTTCGACAGTGCAAGACTTGCAACGGCACACTGACGATGCCAACAAAGAACTACACTAACTGATAACTGTCAACAAATAACAGCTTTTATCAAAACATTATTGAAAGTTCAAAAGTCCCTTGGTGGATTGATATATAATTTTAGTTAGATGTCAGTCATGCTTTGGTGCGTGAGACTTTTTTTCATAGTTGTGAACTTGCTGAAGAGTGTGAGAAAATGGTGAGAATGAGTTGGTTTTTAGGATCTAAAGGAATTGTAAGTATAGGTGTATGCTAAAGGAATAGCCAGATGGAACGACTTTGTTGACATTAGAAATAATTTGTCATATGAATCAAAAATGTGGAAAACTAATGCTGCGGCTCATGTGGCGTTAACAGAAGCAAAACAGATTGACATTCATTATGAAGTGAAGCAGATCATCCAGACTGGTGGTATATATATCCAAGCCAATGTTGGAAGAAAGCCGGCACTGTTCCTTATAGATAAGCAGGGCAATTCTTATAACATATGGAGTCTAATCAAAACATTGGCATCTGAGATAGAAAATGTACTGCTGTCTGTTAGCAGCCAATCAGTTTTTGCTGGAGTGCTGAAAAGCTTATGGCAGGCTTCCATATCAATCTTAATAAAACAGATTTTAAGGGTTATAGATAAGGTGTTAGCTTTGCACAGTCACTTTAAATTATGTAACTAATAAGCATAAAGAAAATTCCTTCCTTAAGGAAGTGCTATGTTTTTTCACTGTAATCATATTATAGAATTATATACTGTAATTATATATTGCACACTAAATATTTTTTTTAAATTACACAGAGTACAACTCAGACCTTAGATTATAATCCTATTTCTGTCTACATTTTTCTATCTGCCCTGTCCCTTTCTTGTTCTCATTAAATAGAAAATGCCAGTACCATTAGTAGCTTTAAATGCATTGTAATGATTAGCACTTAAAGGATAATCATGGAAAGGGATATAGAAAATATAAGTAATGTTGCTTTAGCAGAGTGCTATTTACACATGTGAATATACTCGCTATTACAATAATGTACTCTTGTAATACATTAACAACTCTAGTAAGTTATTAAATGGTGGATGTTGCAGTACAGAATACTTTTTTCTCCATTCCAGTTAGATCCTTGCCCCATGGGGCCTGTAGAACCTCAATATATAACATCTAAGTGCAGTTAGGGACCAATGGTGTCCTATGACATCCAAGCAACCTTTGCCAGTGCAGACTACAGTGTAGAGGGGTTAGAACCTGTGTCAACTCTTTATTGCTGTGTGTTCCACCATGTGGGCTATTTTTTATACTTCTCACTATTTTTTATAAAAAAATGTAGACATATATTCAATCTTTGGACCACTTCCAGTCTACCGAAAAGTACATCAAGTTGTGTGTCACCAATAAAAAAAGTAAAATAAAAAGAATGAAATGATAACAAAGAAAAACAACACTAATAATTTGTAGTAGATCATTACTTATATTCCAGGCTGGAGAAATAGGGTGTCAACTAGGTCTATATTATTATAGCTAAATGGGAACACAAGTGAATTCTGAACAATTGTGTCGGGTGTCGGGAAGTGAAGGGAAGCCTCCCTAACAAAGGGCACATACAGCAATCAAAAAGTTGATACAGGTTCTAATTATTCCAAACTCTTTCCACACAAAACTAATAAAAGGTTACTAGAATGTCACAGCAACTGGAGGCACAGTTGATCTCTAACTGCACTTAAATTTTATAGGGTGGAGCCGTACAATTTCCAGGAGCAAGGTTTCAGCAAAAACTTCAACACTGGTTTCTACAATAATACATCCATAATACACACCTGGACACCCCCATTGTAACAAAGTTTCCAATAGAAGCATTTTTTTCTAGCAGTGGGAACGGTTAAAACCTCTGTCAAGCAAGGATCAAGCCACAACTTTGACCCTAGTTTCTACAATATAGCATCAACAATATGCACCTAGATACCCTAGTGGTAACAGAGTTTCCAATAAAAGCAATTGTCTAGTAGTGGTGTAGGGACCCTGATGTAAGGAGGAGTATTACAAATCTAAATTTAGTGTTAGCAGCAAGGCTGTAGTCATCCTGAACTCTGATTGTTACCGTTATCTTGGATCATTGTTTTTTCTCTAAGCCCAGAACATTGTTTTGTTTCTGACTGCTACTTGTGAGTATTTTCTTGAGAAGATAGATTGAGAAGATACAATGTATGGGGTTATGTAGGATTTATCCTAATGATGTAGCCCGAGGAGTAAGATAATCATTCGGGGAGAGCTTCTAGAAGGGTCCTTCTCTCCCAGGCTTTTCCTAGAGAGGATGTGTTTGTGAAGGGTCTAGTCTTGACTCTTAGACCTTCTGCCCGAGAAAGATGTGAGTCCAGAGAACCTTGCCCTTCAGACCTGCTGCCTGGTGATGGTATAGCTCCTGAGAGGTCTAGTTCATACTGCCTCAGGAAGAAAGCTGAACCTAAAATACTATTGAGGAAGGAAATGTTTGCTGCTCTCTCCTAGAAAACTGAGCCAATTAAATATCAAAAAAAGACTGATGCAGTGGAAGTCTGTCTGTCACTGTTAATGAGTCTGGGTGCAGCTATAAGGCAAATTAACAGTAGGAAAGCTAGAAGGGCAATAAAATCCAGCAGGTTAACTTCAGATTTAGGTGTCTGACTAAAAAATGGTGGGTCATCACTCCTGTAGCACCAGTATCATTTATACAAATACACTGAGCAAACCTCCATGCAGACACCATCTACTCTGCCCAACACCCTGCATCTGCCATGGACTGCTTTCTGGCAAAATCAAGGGCTCAATGTCTCTCCATCTTGTGTCCCTTTGAATTGGCAGAAGCATGTTTTTGATTGAAAAATATACTTTATTAATGTAATAAAATATACAAAAACAAGCTATACAATCGGGGTACATTCTACCTCGTACTGCGACGCAGCGCATAAACACCACATAGCAATACAGCTCAATCACACAATAAATGACATTCGCACTGCGGCGAGATGCCTGACGTGTAGCGCAAGACAAGAGTCCTGAGCCCTCCACGTCATTCATGACACCGCATTACCCCGTACTAAGTCTGTGGTCCGTAGGATCCACATCAAATACCTTCAACTAAATAAAACTTCAATAAACCTTGCGGTGCGATGTCTGACGTGCGGAACTCGAGGTTCCTCACATCCTACATGGCGCCGCGACAACATATCAAGCATAAACATTAATCAACAACAAAGCAACAGGTGTGATGGGGGAGAGGGAAGAGGGGTAAGGGAGGGGGAAAGAGTTCACAGGCCCGAAGCTTTATTGAAGGACGAGAGACACAAAAAGGAGAGGGGGGAGGGGAAATCTTCTCAGACGTCCTCTTCCTCCTTAAAGTCCATGAGGTGATAGTCTCTGAGCAGACTGATAATCAGTCTGCGGCAGTCCTCAGTGGACATCCTCTCCCTCCGGAGGGTGAGGCGCTTCCTGGCGCACCAAATAGCGTCCTTGAAGCAACACATCACCCGCCAGGCGCCTCCGATTTCGTCTTCTGTAAAGGCGCCTCAAAACAGTCCATACATCACACCAAAGTGAGTAATCGCTGTCAGCGGCACAAAGTCTTTGAGTTCGTGTTCCAGAGCCCTCAACAGGGCCTGTGCGACACGGCAATGCCAGAAGAGATGCAAAGCGGTCTCCTCATCGGTGATGCAAAAGGGGCAATGCCTGTGTCTGCACAGGTTCCTGGCGTGCATAAAAGTCCTGACTGGCAACCCTCCCTGGATAGCCATCCACGCCAGATCATTGTGCCTGTTGGTGAGTCTCTTAGACGAAACACTCCTCCAGACAAATTTGCAAGTGTCTAGAGGGAGGCCTGGAACAGTCTCAACAGTGTCCTTAGCTCTGATGAGCTTGTAAATAGTCTTTGGCTTCCACAAGTCCGGTTTAACTCCATGCAGTCCATGCTCCCTGATGAACTTGAAAGTGTCCAAGTAAAACCAAGGAGTGTCCCAGTTGTAGGGGACCGAACTGTCCCATTTGTCCCATCCCAGGGTCCTCCAAAGAGGCAGGAGGAAAAAACGGGACATGGAGTTCCCGGCAGAGTCCAAAGTCTTTTCAATCAAAGTCCTGCGGATGCAGTTACAAGCAAAGAAAACCCTCAGCATGGTGGCAATGTCCGGGACGCCCTTTCCACCTTTGAGGGGCTCTTTGAACATAACCGCCTGCTTCACTCTGTCCATCTTGGAGCCCCAGATAAAGTGGAACACTGCCCTGGTGATGGCCTTGCAGGTGTTGACCCGGGGGGGCCAGGCCTGGGCGAGGTACTGCAACACAGGGAGAATCTCGCTGCGGAGTACCAGTGACTTCCCTTCGATGGTGAGCTCTCTGAGGCTCCAGAGTCCAAATTTCTGCCGCATCTTTGACAGTCTCTCCTCCCAGGACTTCAGGGCCGCGCCCTCAGCTCCAAACCAGACGCCCAAGATTTTGATGAAATCCGCTCTGATGTTGAAGGGGATGGGCGCAGAAGAAGGCAGGTACCATTTTCCGAAGAGCATGGCTTCCGACTTCCCGCAGTTGACTTTTGCCCCCGAAGCTCGGCCGAAGTCTTCGCAGGTCTGGACGAGCACGTCGATGGAACGCTGGTCTGCGCAGAACACCGTCACGTCGTCCATGTACAACGAACACTTGGCCTCCCGTCTGTCTGGACCCGGTGCGGTGATCCCTCTGATCTCTGGATTCCGTCTGATGCACTCGGCGAAGAGCTCTATACAACAAACAAAAAGAAGAGGTGAGAGAGGGCAGCCTTGTCTGACCCCGGAGAGGACAGGAAAGGGGTCAGTCTTCCAGCCGTTCACCAGCACCGAGCTGCGGATATTAAGGTACATCAGGTTAACATACGAACAAAACATTTCCCCAAGGCCAAACCTACGCAGAACCTTGACCATAAAACCGTGCGAGACACGGTCAAAGGCCTTCTCCTGGTCAAGACTGACCAGGGCCGCGTGCACACGGCGGTCCTTGATGTACTGGACCGTATCCCGAACCAGCGCAAGGCTGTCTGCGATACGGCGTCCAGGTACACCGCAAGTCTGATCCGGGTGGATGATCTGTCCGATGACAGCCTTCAGCCTGTTGGCCAGAACCTTGGCGAGGATTTTGTAGTCCACGTTCAAGAGAGATGGGACGCCAATTTTTCAAGTCGCATCTCTCCCCCTTACGCTTATACAAAATCGTGATCATCTCCTCCCTCAGCGACGAAGGCATTCTGCCCTGCACCACCATCTCCTCGTACAGCTCCAGCAGGTCCGGGCCCACGAGGTCCCACAGCGCAACATAAAGTTCAGCTGGGAGACCGTCACAGCCCGGGGTCCTACCAAGCCTAAAGGATCTGACGGCAGAGTGCAGCTCCTCCAACGCCAAGGGAGAGTTAGTGGCCGACATACCTGCAGGATCAATAGTGTTAGTGATACCTGACAAGAACCTGTCGGCGGCCGTCTCGTCCGTGTCTTTCGGGGAGTAGAGGTTGGTGTAGTAGCCGCTGACCACTTCCATCACAGCCTCCTTCCCCTTCTGGAGTGTTCCAGTCTCGTCACGAAGCTCAGACAAGGGAGTGTGTCCGGAGTGGAGTTTCCTGAAAAAGAAAGAGTTACATTTCTCACCTTTCTCAAGGTTCTCCACCTTGGAACGGAAGACAATTTGCCTGGATTCCTCCTCGAAGTGCGCTTTCATGCTCTTCTTGGTCTCCTCCAGGTCCTGCCTCACGTCCCAGCCGCAGTGTTGAAGGTCCTGCAGGGACTGCAACTGACGTTGCAGTCTCCTGAGTTCCCTCCTCCTGGCACACACTCACTGGCGACCCCTTGCCTGAAAGAAGCTGCGCAGCTTGACTTTCACAAACTCCCACCACTTATCCACTGTTCTGAAGAGCGGTTTCTCCTCCTGCCAGGTGACGTACAGTTCTCTGAGTTCCCCCAGCAATTCCTCATCCTCCAGCATGTAGCTCTCTTAAGAGGGTTCTCTTAACCTCTATGAGTAAGCCACATTGGTGAAACATGTAAGAGGAGTGTGCTCTTTGGTCTGGGGAGCTTGCTGTGATGTACACTTGATTTTGTGTCAATAAACACAGGATTCATCGCTTGTATCTTGTGGAGTGCGGTTATTCTTTGGTTTTCATTATAGTTTTATTATTACTAATATTATACAGGATTTATATAGTGCCAACAGTTTGCGTTGCACTTTACCATGAAATATAAAGATTGTGTTATACAACTGATGGGGAACTGATGGGGAATGTAAACGTGCCTCCTTAGTTCATAATGACCTTGCTAGGCTGGATTATATATTCGGTTCTACTGAAATGCTGGCCCTCACAACCCAACCATCATTACACAATACTGCTATCTTGGACCATGCCGTGGTGTCTTTGATAGTCGAGACACTCCCCCAAGTCTCTAATGTCATTATGTGGTGATTCCCATCTTATCTAGCCTTAAATGTAGACTTCTGTAACTCAATCCGTTCAGCCCGGCACAAATATTCTACTTATAATAACAAAGATAACTGAAATCTCTTTCGGGGGCTGCAAAAACATTCATGAGGGACAATTATGTCCTGCATATATCTGCGTATAAAAAGCCCAATCTTCAGGGCTACCATATTGCTAGTACAGCACTAAGGGAAGCACAACATAATCTTAATACCACCCTTTCACTGGGTAATAGACTAGAACAGCTGAAAGCTAAGCAGCAGTTTGATCTACAGGCCAATAGACATGAAAACGCTAAACAATCCTTCACGGACTTAAAATACCACAAATACTGAGAAACAAAGCAGGAAAATTACTGGCCAGATTGGTTTGAGGGTTACCTCCTTGGTGGACCCCAGTGTCACATGTGCACTTGAAAAATCTAACCCTTCTCCATTCTATTCAGGTAAAAAAATGTTTTGGGCACAAATGGGCTTAAAAACTGTGTGCAGCTGTAGAGAGTGTTATGCAATGAGGTCACTTTTGCATGCATTATCACAGCAGAAGCACAATAATTTCATTATTGGCCCCTCGTAGTCCTTTCTTTACAGTGGCACTGCCATGAAAACATGTAAGAGGAGTGTGCTCTTTGGTCTGGGGAGCTTGCTGTGATGTACACTTGATTTTGTGTCAATAAACACAGGATTCATCGCTTGTATCTTGTGGAGTGCGGTTATTCTTTGGTTTTCATTATAGTTTTATTATTACTAATATTATACAGGATTTATATAGTGCCAACAGTTTGCGTTGCACTTTACCATGAAATATAAAGATTGTGTTATACAACTGATGGGGAACTGATGGGGAATGTAAACGTGCCTCCTTAGTTCATAATGACCTTGCTAGGCTGGATTATATATTCGGTTCTACTGAAATGCTGGCCCTCACAACCCAACCATCATTACACAATACTGCTATCTTGGACCATGCCGTGGTGTCTTTGATAGTCGAGACACTCCCCCAAGTCTCTAATGTCATTATGTGGTGATTCCCATCTTATCTAGCCTTAAATGTAGACTTCTGTAACTCAATCCGTTCAGCCCGGCACAAATATTCTACTTATAATAACAAAGATAACTGAAATCTCTTTCGGGGGCTGCAAAAACATTCATGAGGGACAATTATGTCCTGCATATATCTGCGTATAAAAAGCCCAATCTTCAGGGCTACCATATTGCTAGTACAGCACTAAGGGAAGCACAACATAATCTTAATACCACCCTTTCACTGGGTAATAGACTAGAACAGCTGAAAGCTAAGCAGCAGTTTGATCTACAGGCCAATAGACATGAAAACGCTAAACAATCCTTCACGGACTTAAAATACCACAAATACTGAGAAACAAAGCAGGAAAATTACTGGCCAGATTGGTTTGAGGGTTACCTCCTTGGTGGACCCCAGTGTCACATGTGCACTTGAAAAATCTAACCCTTCTCCATTCTATTCAGGTAAAAAAATGTTTTGGGCACAAATGGGCTTAAAAACTGTGTGCAGCTGTAGAGAGTGTTATGCAATGAGGTCACTTTTGCATGCATTATCACAGCAGAAGCACAATAATTTCATTATTGGCCCCTCGTAGTCCTTTCTTTACAGTGGCACTGCCATGATCATTGCATATGTGTGCAGCTGCACAGTTCAAAGGACCTAATAAAAAAAGATGATAACCAAATCACAAATAAAATTTACAGTACTTGGAAATTTTTTTAAAGAAATGTGATTAAAATTTAAAAGGCACGCCTTATCTTGAAGTGGTGCTGTTATTAGCAAAGAATATAGAATACACAGCTGTGAAGTATTCAAGCATCTTTTAGGACACTTGGGTTGTTATTGTACCATGTGGGGCTTCAGCAACAAGTAAGATGTGTTTTCATTGTATTGAAGTACATGCAAACCTCTTCAGACATTTGCTGACATATGGAAAAGAGGATGTGCAGCTGACAACTAATTGATCCCTTGCTCTGTGTAGCAAATGGAACAAACTTTTACTAGGCTTGTGGTGCATTCACTCACTAGCCACATCATGGAGAAGACTGAAGCAGGTCTGTCCATACAAGTGCCAATAGGGGGGTTTGTCCACATAAATATTTTCCGACCCATCACTTTCAATGTGAAATCTGTCCATCTAAGTCCATTATATGTACATTATCATGCAGTTCTGCTCTGGCACTGAGCTATGATTTCAGGAACATTGTGCTGGGTGCAGCAGGGGCGTCCTGAGGCCAGGTGTCACCCGGAGCGGTTACGGGGTGACACCCCGCCGTGACATCACTGCACATGCGCGATCACATTATCGCGCATGCACAGCAATCTTGTTGATACCTGCCGCCGGCCATCTTGGTGATGGACGCCAGCAGAGAGAAGAGGGGTCAGTCGCCCTGCGGGATAAGGTATGCCACCGGGTCCCCTCCTCTCTCCCGAAACTGTCGAGCGTTCGGTCCATGACCGAGTGCCCGGCTTTTCAGAGGGGGGTGACATCAAAATGACTGTCGACTTCCGGTTCCGGCGCCTAATGGGATAAGCTGTGTCCCGCGTCGCTCCGTCCCGCCGACAGCCACGGCAAAGACACCCTCCCGTTACTGACAGGCGATTACTCACCGGATGACTCACCCCACACCTCTTCGGGCTATGGATACATATATGCTAATATCTGACCATTCCCCTGTTTCTTTCACTATGCGTAACCTGGAGGTTCCCTCCAGACCTGTCACATGGTGTTTCCCCGCATACCTTGTTCGGGATGACACCTTTATAGAAGATCTTAAATCCTGGTGGCTCGAATATTTAGATTGTAATTCCGCTCACCTCTCTGACCCAGTCCTGTTCTGGGAGGCGGCTAAGGCTGTTCTACGCGGTAAGATCCTGGCATATGTGACTAGACGCAAGAGGACCACTAGACAACAATACACTGCGGCCAGTGCTCTTGCCAGGGAAGCCTATGTCTCTTACAAGTTGTCACCGACCATGGACAATAGGCTTCGCTGGCTACAAGCCAAGCAGCAGTGTGATCATTGGATCCTACAATACGACCAACAGATCCGTTCTGTCAAAGAGGTCGAACTGTTTAAATTCGGGAACAAGGCTGGAAGGCTCCTGGCGAACTTGGTCAGGGGCTCTACTCCTACATCTCACATACTCCGTCTGGCCGATGGGGACGGCATACTGATCCTGAGAAAATTTCTGATATTTTTAGCAATTATTATCAGGCTCTTTATTTCTCCTAATCAATCTACTCCTACATCTCACATACTACGTCTGGCCGACGGGGACGGCATTATCCATACTGATCCTGAGAAAATTTCTGATATTTTTAGCAATTATTATCAGACTCTTTATAGTGGCTAAACTTGACGGCTCCCTAGGAGCCCTGGACGTCCTGTGACAGAGCCCATACCTTAGCTCTGCCCCCCCCTTCTCCGGCAAGAGACGCCTGCCCTTAGCTTCACACTCAACCGCGCTACGAGCCGCTGACCTGATAAATCATAAATCTTACAGCATAGACCTTTGACACCTTTTCACATGTCCTTACTGACCCACATGGAATACATCATTTCCGGTTTTGAAGAAAATAAGAAACTCCGCACTTCACGACCATATTCTGTCTTTTATGTGTCTTTTCTTTCTTTCCTTTGGTTGGTACCTCAACCCACTCCCTGATTATCTTTTCCATCAGTTCGTTGAGGTTTTGGTTTAAATTTTTGTCCTGGTTCTTTATACCCTATAATGTGTGTTACTTCATACGTGCCCAATACATCCAGATTGTATATTGTCACTACACATCATTAGCAGCTATAGGTAGTTTTATGACTCTATGTAACTAGTTTTCATGCAAGTTACTGTTGTTGATGTGAACACGTCTACGACTCTCACTCGGTGGATGTAGTATGTTTCAATGTATACTGTATTATTGAAAATCTTAATAAATACTATCTACTTAAAAAAAAAGAAAATGACTGTCAGTCATTTTGGTGTCACCCCTCCAATGGTGTCCTCCGCGTGCGGGCCGCACCCCCCTTGTGATGCCACTTGGGTACAGGCTGGCAATAGAAAGTTTTGAAGAAATGTGGTATGAGGATTATGTTGTTATTATTATTTTTGTTTCATGCTCATGTGCTTTAGTGTTTTGGTAAGGGCAAAAATTTTTGAAAATGTCCTATTACAAACAAATAAAACATAGTACAAAATATGTATTTTTCTGTACATCATCTAGGTCCCCATATAGAAGAGGAAGATCAACTGCTCATAATACCAGGTCTGACCTCCTTCTATTCATTTTGATTGTATTACATCCATTTACTCTATGAGGTAAAGATCTAAAATACAGGGTAAATTCTCTGCTGCTCTTAAACTCACCAGTCAAGTAGGAAAATGCTTTTCTGCTCACTGCGAACAAAAAGGGTGCATCAGAATGACATTTAAATTACAAGGAACCACTGAGAATAAAAGCCAATGAAACACATGCTGGATTGAAATGGCTTAGATCCATATAATTAACTCCTGTGTTTTGGACTAAAACCCAGAGAAAAAGATTATGCTGGCAATAGGAATTAATGGTACTAATGTAAGCCATTCTTTACAGTGCTTTATTTTAATGTGTTTTTTTCTTTTTTTTGCTTTGGTTTCCAAAGCATGCACTGAGCATTCACTAATGCAGTGAAGCTGTGTCTCAGTAGACTGTCAATGATTAAAACGTTCAGTGAACAAGACTTGCTGGCGGGCAAGTTCCATTATGCCTATTAGACCAAAGGTACTAGCTATAACAATAGCATATTTTCCACAGCAAGATGGTCTGCTCTTTCTACTGAGCTTCTGGTTCAGATGTTTAACATTGTTTATCATTACGATGCATGTGTATGGTCATTACCACACTTATGTAGATGCTTTACTGTCAGCAGCAATAGCACGTTTAATTAGATATAATACAAAATTAGATTGTAATTAGATATATTGCTTATTATTATTATTATACAGGATTTATATAGCGCCAATAGTTTGCACAGCGCTTTACAATATAAGGAAGACATTACAGTCACAATACAAGTTAAGACAAGATGGTAAGGAGGGCCCTGCCCGTGAGGCATATCATAGATATAAACAGTTAATGAAGCACAAGGCAAAAGCAAAAAGGTTTGTTCCTTTTTGATAGAAAGGACTGCCTGAAATAGTAATGCCCCAATGTCATAAGTTTTAACTCCTTGCCCATAGCCATTGAGGTGCACCTACATACCAGAGCTTTATTCAGGTGTATTGTGTCAGCCTTCTACATGTTTGTACTCTGTGATGGATGTAAGTGTCAAGATTTTTTGACATGTTAAAGTGACATTAAAGTCACATCCCCCCAATGCTGGTGTAAGGACTTACCTTATATGATGACTGTAGATCCGATCATCTTCTTCTTTACAGTCGTTTTCAGCAGTCCATCCAGCACTGGTGCCTGCCTCTCATCCAACGCTGACTGCTGTGTCTTCTGTGTCCCACGAAGTCTGTGCGGGTGCACACTGCCAGGCTGCCTGCATTGACTTACCCTGTGTCTATCCTCTTCTCCCGGCCGAAGATCTCCACTGTGTATGTTCCTGCTCAAAATTGCATGTACATTTGTTCTGTGTGAATGGAGGTGAAAATTAGCATATTTATTAGGATGAATGTAATATCAGGAAAATACCGCATTATGGCCACACGATGGAGCTGAGGAGCATAAGTTTGTTTGATTTTTTTTTTTCATTTTATATTGCAACTTGCTTGTAGGAGCTACTGAATTGAGGTTATACGGTATAACATTGAAAATATCTTAAAATAGAAATGCAAGGTTGACTGATTGATAAAAGAGATTGCAAGGTATTTGGTCAGATTTACAACTTGCATAGATCAAATAAACATTTAGTTTGTTTAGCCATATTACTATGGTTCTGTAAATGGTAGTAATTGACACATCTGTACTCCTATATTGATGTCTGGAAACCATGAACTGTTATACTTTGGAAGACATTGGTTTAGACAGCCATACAAGAGTGCAATGAAAGTGTCAATATTGTCTTGATAAAACACAAGGATGTCCTGTCCAATCCAGTCATCAATTCTGTTATCTTGTTTCATTGATTCAATGAAAATCTTGGTGTGTCATTTATTTTCCCTTCTAAACCAGCATTTATCAAGGTCTCAAGGCAACTGACATATAGCACAGTCAAGAGCCAAGGGTTGTTTTCCCTTTGATGTGTGGCACTAGAGGTTTGCAGGGATAGGCCCTCCTGTTCAGTCTGTGCAAGTTATGCAGCTGTTCATTTGTTAAGAAAAACAGTTATTTGCTAGCTAAACATGAACTGTTGCTTTGCCAAGGAAGAGTAAAGCAACAGGTTCACTTTAATCCCCCTTGCCCAACAACACATGCTCACCTTTCTTTTGCTCTGCCACTGCTCCTTTAGACTACCAGATAAGCCCCTCTAAAATCATGATACACAGGGCTATGGACTCTGGTGCTTGTTGATTGGGGAATCACAGGTTTGCTTTAACGTAAACCCGTGGAGAAACTAAACATGTAAAATGGGCATCTATTTTGCAGGGAACCTCTAGGTTCCTATGTGACCGATCTGAGTTTCTGTAATAGGCCTGCCTGTTCCCTCTTGTACCTCTTGCTTGGTCCATTACTGTGATAAGCATATTCACTTGCCAATGTGAGGAGGCAAAAGTGAGTGATCAGAGCATCCCTGTTTTTTTGGCCCCTGTGGCACTTTACATAAGCTCAGGCTTGCCATGCATGCGAAGCATACATGTCTTAACATTTGTAGAATAACCAGGAACAAAGCCAATACCTTTTTTTAGGTTTTGGACTTTCTTATGATTTGTGACCAAAATGTATGCCTGGGAGTTTGAGTGCTTCCAGGCACCCCAAATAGTACCAGTGAAGTGCACATATTCTACAATAAAGTTGATTAGCATACAGTGAGGCATGCATAGGGGGGAGTACCGCATCCCAATAATCTATATTAGAGAAACAACGAAGAAAGGTTCAGACTTTTAAGATACTCCAAGGATCACAAAAGTGGTGTTTGTATAAAATATATAACAATTTTTTTATTTGAACATATACTTTAAAATGAGGACTTTAAAATGATCTAAAAGGGAGCAGTGGATGTAGCCGCATCCTCCGATATATTATCTTGAGATTACAATACTCCTACATATTATCTTGAAATTACACATTTTTACAATGTGCTGTGTGTCTGCTTTCCTTTCATCTTGTAATCCAGTGGGAGGATGACAATTTCTACGCATTACATGAAGATCCGATTCTTCAGCAATAGGCTACTATCTCTCTATATGAAGTTTACCTATTGAAAAGCATTAGTTCAATTCCCATCCATGTAAATACATTAATTGGTTATTGCAATTCATGTGGTTCAATAGACTTACAATAGTCCTTTAAACTGTCAATATCCAGTATCTCCTCATTGTTTTAGGGGATGTGCACACTCGGGCACGCTATATCACATATGGTGGGAATGCCCCAAATTGAGACCTTTTTGGAACCGGCTTTATGCTCTAATATTTAGGGTTACTGGGGTGAGAGTCCCACTAGATCCCCAATATGTGTTGCTGAATTGCCCGATTCCAGGACTGTCTAAAGCTTTGGATAAATTAATTACTTTCTTTCTGTTGGCAGCCAAAATAACCATAGCTAGGGCTTGGAAAACACCAACAATTCCATTCCACTTGGTCAAACAAAAAATGTTGTGGATTATGGTCCATGAGAAACTTCACAGCATCCTCCAAGATAATAAAAAAAGTTTTGAATTGACCTGGACCCCCTGGTTGTTATATACAGGGGTGCTGGAAACCGGGTAATTTTCATTGTACAACTTTTCTGGAATTTTTCTCTGGGGACTATGTTTAAGGTTTAAGTAGATGTTGGGCTATTTGGTCGGGGATGGAGCTACTCTTTTCGGACTCTTAAGCTGTTCTGCTTCCTTTAGTATCTATTTCCTTTTCCTCTTTTTGTCTGTTTTTTTTTTTTTTTTGCTCGCACATGTGAGCCGTTTAGTACATAGATGCTGGACAGAAAGTCTTCTATTGATATAGATATGGAGGAGATCATAACAAATGTTTGCTTCAGACATAGGCGGATCCCTAGGCCAGATATTCCTCTCAGACTGTTCTGATTTTTGATTTTAGTGATGGGGGATAAATTGGCAAGAATAGGTGGATAGATATGTTCTGTTGTACAGAACTATTATATATTGTGTGTATGGCCTCTAGTGATCCCCTCCTACTACTTGATTATGCTAATGTGGAAGAAACTGTAATGCAATTGTATGCTATACTGATTGTGCATCATGTGCTATTTTATTGTTTTATTGTACTTTGGAAAATTAATAAAATACTTTGAAAGTTAAACTGGCAATATCACTGCTATCCACCCTTTTGATCATGAGCACGGACGGAGAGGGACCAAAAGGAGCCAAAAACAGGACACCCCCGGAGCGACGAACACAGGGGTCAGAAGAGCAGAAAGCAATCAAAAAAGAGCCAGTTTTACAATAACATTTCCATGGATTCATTAGGCATAACGTCAACATATACTCCTTAGTCATTTCAACACATAGGAGGCACATATAGAGTTAGGTAAATGGTATGTTGGAATCTTATAGTACCACAAACGGATGACAGTTAAAAGGAAGTTTGGAAACCCTATAATAAAAGGAAAATAAACTAAACCTATGTATGTGTAGGGATGTGTTCCTTATCACCTGTTTAAATCTGCACTTGTTTTTAAGTTTTTGTTGTGATGCAGGGATTTCTCCAGTAGGGTTTGCTCAAGGGTTTCTATGTTGTGTCATCTGCCAGACTCTGTAAAAAGATCCAGAGGGCTGAATAAGAGATGTGACATGGGCTGGTGGGTATGTTTGTTAACTAGCCAATCACTTGTGGGCTTTTTATCAGTGGTGTAGGTCTAGGTTTAACAAACATCCTGATTAGATTTATTTAAGTGTCTTTGCTTACATTAAGGACACTGGAGTCTCACTTAAACTTCCAATGCCTTATGATACAATGATACAGTAGCTAAAGAGATATCACTGCGGAGAATGGAGAAACTCTGGAACTCCCACTGGTCTACTACTGCTGTTGCTGCCTTGTACAGTGAAAACAGAGAAGCCTCTGTTGTATTGGATGCTAGGTCTGTGTGCTGTATACCAACAAAAGTCTGAGCTACATCCTGGGACTTTAACCTTTGAGAAGATGTGCTAATGTTGGCTATTCCACTCACTTCTATTCTCCCTTGTTTTGAAATGTATCTTTAAAAAGACATTTAAGGGCTGGACTGTTGTTACAGCAGTGTAAGTACTATGCCTGGGGAAAGGTTATTCTTATTGGGCTTTTCACTTGTACTACACAAGGCCCAACTGAATTGAGACTTTTCCAGAGAGACTGTACTATGGCTGGATGCTCCCACCTTGCAGAGGCTAAGCCTTTAGTTGGCCATACAAGTGCATGTTCTTTTAGTAGCCTGACTAGAGAAACATTTAAGAGAATCTGAAAAGAAAGTTATGTACTGTATGTGTTACCATAATGATTAAAGGGGCATTCCAATATAATGTGATAGTTTAGAAATAGTGGAGCCTGGTGGACATCTGATAACTTTGAGGGTATTGGGTACCCATACAACTACTGTAGATCTCCCTACCAAAGTTCCCAAATCAAGGTATTATCCACTTGGGAGTTGTGGTTGTTCTTGCCCATCTGTGGAAATCCCAACTCCTTCTTTTGCATTCTCTAAGTTGAAAATCCAACAGGGGTAGTAAGGTCCCTTGTGATTGGCACAATATTTGTGCAAACCCAAAAACTCAAGCATAGATATCTCACCAATAGCTCCCCAAGAGAAACGGTCAGATTTATCTCTCTAGCGTCTACCAAAACATTTGGTTGAAATGACCATTTAAAGATCTTCACAAAATAGTTGCTGTTTTAAATGCGATGATATCAAATATAAATGTAATATAGATGTAATTTCAGCCAATTAGCAGACCCAATTAGCCAACACCTTCAAAATAACTCATTTTTAATTACAGAAGAAAGAACATTATACAGCAATTATTGCACTGATGCAAAATACCAGAAGTAGAAGTGTTTTCAGAATGAGAGCAAAACTGACATATCATGCTAATACAACAATAGCCGTTCTAGGAATTGAAATAGCACATATATTGAGAGAAAAAGGAGTCACCTGTTTTAACAATACATTCAGTTCTTGGACTACTGTGTGGTAAAATAAATGACAAAAGCAACAAAATGGCATATTTATCTTAGGTAAGGTGACAGTCACTGTAAGTGAATCTTCTTGGTGCAAGTGTTTTACATCCCAGTGATTGAGTCATCTGCAGTGAATGTTTGCTGAATGTCACATTCACTGCTTTATAAATATGCTTCTTGGTGTGGGTTTATAGCAGATAAAACAGAATATCAGCTGCTGTATGATTCTCTGGCCCTCCATGTATCAACAAGTGCACAATACCGCAAATATTTTGGTTAATACTGGTGCCGTTGGGGGCATAACGCTCCAGCAACCAATGCAAGGATTGTGTCAGTGTCTTCCTTTTCTTCACAGTATTGTGTAATGTGGCCAAGCCATGGACATTTAAGTATTTCAATAGCCTTAGCAAGTAATAAATTAGCTATAAACTAAGCCCTCACTGACCTCTGTAGCTACAGATAACGTGGAGCAATTCATCCTCAAAGCTCCCAGCATAAACATCAATGTTCTTTTGGGCACTTCAGCTCCCCTTGCTTCCCCTACCAGAACACTTCCTATGTGCTTTTTTAGGGTTTAGAAGGCTGCAAGGCTGTCAAGATATTGCTTAGAGGCAGAGCAGGGCAAGCTGACTTGCTGTAAGAAGGACTGAGATGATGTCAGTGCTTCTGCTGTAAAATGTGAGAATAAATTGCTCCATGGTTTCCGCGGCTACAGAGGTCAGTAATGGCTTCTTTTAAAGTAATTTACTCTCAGTTGGAGTGATTTGTCCTAACTTCCTGTTCTGGTAATCTCCCAAGCAGGCAAATACAACTTACAAAAGATCCTCAACACACTTTTCAGCTAGCCCCCCAAAAAACCCTAACTAAACGTTTTCAACTACTTGGGTAAAACATGTTTGTTGCATATGTTTGCAATAGATTTAAAGCCACACTGCAGTATTGAGGCAAACAGGAAAAGTTGGTCCCTAACTCAAAACAGTTCCCAGAAACAAACCCGAGCCCCTTATTGCTCAATCCTGCAGTGGGTGTCTGCTTCAGCAATTAAAACGTGACACAGGAACTTACCCTTTCAAACTTCATCCAAAACAGAAAATCATTTTTGCTGCAGTTCTACCTTAAGACTGCATCAACGCTTTCTGAATTTTCATTGAGTTGGAGTTTCATGTTGATTTTTATCTAAATTCACTAATAAGGAGCTGACCGTACAACCTCAAAGAACATTAGGATAAACAGGATAAAAACAAGCTAATTACCTTGGGAACGATATCTAAGTGCTCCAGTAATTGATTTTAAGTACCGAAGGTTGGTGGTGTGTTGCCAGTTGTGCTTTTTTTTTTTTTTTTGCAAGCCACACATCAGATGCTGTATAATCCATTATCACAATTGATTGCCCTTGGAGATGGATGAATCAGCAAAACATTAATTTACAGTAAACAAAGCAAGATAAGTGTTTTATCTTTTAGAATTTTTTTGTTTTTGTATTCTCGCTAAACAGTAGTAAAAACAATGCTCCAGAAGGTGCTTTAGAGTTACACTTTTCCAGTGCTGCTAAAAGATAATTTAGCATTAGAGAGCTACCAACATTAATGTATCTACATACATTTGGTAGAAATTACCAAATCAGGAAAGTCCATATAAAAATAGAACAATTCTTATTTAAAATGTAACAAACAGAACATTTTGCTGTATTTTCATTGAACCAAAGGTTTAATCTCCTACAGAGTGGTGACTGTACATAAATTACTGGTCTGCAGCCCCA